ACTTTTATGTGAAATCTTAATTTAACCACTTAAAAATCCGTGTGAGCAGACTAGCGTCATTACCTGTATCTGCATGGACAGAAAATTTATTAAATATTTAATATAAAACTAGTTTCAGGCTATATTTTATTTATATAAAACTACCTTCAGGGTATATGTATAAGTTGTGTTATGAAATGTAAAGGGATATTGTGTTTATGATAGGGTTCTATTCCGAAGCTGCCCAATATGATAGATGCTATATACAAATTAAAAGAACCTGTATTCTAAAATCCGAATAGAATCTGAAAATCGAAGGAGAATATTGTTTGAAAATGAAGAAAATAGGACGAACTGCTATAAGATATCTAATCACGTATATGACAGTGAATACTAGACAGTCTCATCAAAGATGAGGAAGATACCGGAAGTGAGAGTGATATGGTCCTGTCGACAAATGACTTCCTGAAATTAAGTAATGTATAGGAAAATACTGTTAGAAACAGAGAAAAGAAACGAAGAAAAGAGTGCTGAACTGCTATGTAATATCTCTTCTCTTATATTGACAGTGAAGTATCGATTGAAGTGACAGTGATGTGGTCCTGTCGACAAATGTCTTCCTGAAATTAAGTAATATATAGGAGACTATTGTGGGAAACAAAGAAAAGAAACTAAATAAAATGCGCTGAACTGCTGTGCGATATCAATTTACTCTATAGCAGTAAATGCTGGACAATTTCCTCAAAGAATGAAAATGCCGTTCTATCGACGTACAGATGGACAGAACATGTGAGAAAAGAGGAAATCTGAAGGAAAACAGAAATAAGTAAATTGATTTTTACACCCAGAAAGAGTTAAATTTCTGCTGCACATGGGGGTGTAGAGAATTTAACCCTCACAAGACATACTGATGTTAAGATAAGCAAAGGGAAACAGCGAGAAACCTTTTTAACAAGATTCTTAACAAGTGGAAATGTAAACAAGGGTCACAAAAGTGATGGAAGTTGTGGAGAGTCATAGCCACCGAAATCCTGAAAAGACATGGTATATAAAAAAAAAAAAAAAAAAAGAAATTACCGTGAATGATCGGCCGAGTGAAAAATGGTTCGCGAAATTTCATGCAGGATATTTCTCGCTGTACGATGCTCCACGGTCGGAGTAGACGAGACCATAATTAAAATATTCAAATCAGTTCGTTAGTTGATTTTGTTTAGCGACATATCAACCTCTATGGGTTATTTAATTCGAAATCTAAATATTTTGTACGCAGTTTTATTCTATTTATTTATTTGTTTGGAATTTTATAATGTTTCTAGTGGTACAAGTCTTACTAATTAATCCATAGCTAGGGGAGAAGAGGTGGATTCATACCTTTCCCAAATGTAAGTAAATATAACGAATCCAAATTGAATCCGAAATCGTCTCTACGATTAAAAATTCCGATCCATTACACCACACAAACATCCAAGCTTACAGCTTCTAGTATTTCCAAGTGGTCACCCATCTAGGTAATGACCAGGCTCGAGGTTGCTTAACTTTGTTAACAGGACGGGAATCGGTGTTTCAACGAGATGTGGTCATAAGTCACCGGAAATTGGAATATTTTCATAATAAATTTACCCTTATACTCCTGTGATCCACCGGGATGTATAAGGTTTGGGAGTCAGCAACATAAAATTAATATACACCTATTTTATGAAGTTAAGATTATTTTCAGTATGGATATTGTTCGGACTGTTGTCCTGATCTTTATTGCTATATTCACGACGTTTCGGTCGTTGTACACTCCAGGCTTTTTCAGGTGACATTTCTTAGAATTTCGAACCGAACACTTTATCTAACCTACGGGGGTAGATTGTTCTAATTCCACGTGCCATGCCTTTTGATATCTCAGTTTCAGTTAATTCTCCTTGATAACTCAACTGTTCATGTTTTTGATCTCTGTTGTGGCCAGGGATTGAACTTACAAATCTTTGGGCCAGGTCACTTTTGGATGAATCAACCAATGCTTTTATCCAATGGACCATGCGTCCATCTTGAATATGGCAATAAAGATGAGCACGGCAATCCGAACGATGTAACTAGTATAAATAGTTTCGATACCTCAACTCAGAAATATAGGCAGATCCTGAAGAAGTCTGGAGCATAAATGACCGAAACGTTGTAAATGTGGCAATAAAGATGAGCACGGCAGTCCGAACGATGTAACTAGTATAAATAGTTTCGATACCTCAACTCAGAAATATAGGCAGATCCTGAAGAAGTCTGGAGCATAAATGACCGAAACGTTGTAAATGTGGCAATAAAGATGAGCACGGCAATCCGAACGATGTAACTAGTATAAATAGTTTCGATACCTCAACTCAGAAATATAGGCAGATCCTGAAGAAGTCTGGAGCATAAATGACCGAAACGTTGTAAATGTGGCAATAAAGATGAGCACGGCAGTCCGAACGATGTAACTAGTATAAATAGTTTCGATACCTCAACTCAGAAATATAGGCAGATCCTGAAGAAGTCTGGAGCATAAATGACCGAAACGTTGTAAATGTGGCAATAAAGATGAGCACGGCAGTCCGAACGATGTAACTAGTGTAAATAGTTTCGATACCTCAACTCAGAAATATAGGCAGATCCTGAAGAAGTCTGGTGCATAAATGACCGAAACGTTGTAAATGTGGCAATAAAGATGAGCACGGCAGTCCGAACGATGTAACTAGTGTAAATAGTTTCGATACCTCAACTCAGAAATATAGGCAGATCCTGAAGAAGTCTGGTGCATAAATGACCGAAACGTTGTAAATGTGGCAATAAAGATGAGCACGGCAGTCCGAACGATGTAACTAGTGTAAATAGTTTCGATACCTCAACTCAGAAATATAGGCAGATCCTGAAGAAGTCTGGTGCATAAATGACCGAAACGTTGTAAATGTGGCAATAAAGATGAGCACAGCAGTCCGAACGATGTAACTAGTATAAATAGTTTCGATACCTCAACTCAGAAATATAGGCAGATCCTGAAGAAGTCTGGAGCATAAATGACCGAAACGTTGTAAATGTGGCAATCAAGATGAGCACAGCAGTCCGAACAATGTAAATACTTTAAATAGTTACAATACCTCATCTCAGAAATATAGGCAGATCCTGAAGAAGTCTGGAGCATAAATGACCGAAACGTTGTAAATGTGGCAATAAAGATGAGCACGGCAATCCGAACGATGTAACTAGTATAAATAGTTTCGATACCTCAACTCAGAAATATAGGCAGATCCTGAAGAAGTCTGGAGCATAAATGACCGAAACGTTGTAAATGTGGCAATAAAGATGAGCACGGCAGTCCGAACGATGTAACTAGTGTAAATAGTTTCGATACCTCAACTCAGAAATATAGGCAGATCCTGAAGAAGTCTGGTGCATAAATGACCGAAACGTTGTAAATGTGGCAATAAAGATGAGCACGGCAGTCCGAACGATGTAACTAGTGTAAATAGTTTCGATACCTCAACTCAGAAATATAGGCAGATCCTGAAGAAGTCTGGTGCATAAATGACCGAAACGTTGTAAATGTGGCAATAAAGATGAGCACAGCAGTCCGAACGATGTAACTAGTATAAATAGTTTCGATACCTCAACTCAGAAATATAGGCAGATCCTGAAGAAGTCTGGAGCATAAATGACCGAAACGTTGTAAATGTGGCAATCAAGATGAGCACAGCAGTCCGAACGATGTAACTAGTATAAATAGTTTCGATACCTCAACTCAAAAATATAGACAGATCCTGAAGAAGTCTGGAGCATAAATGACCGAAACCTTGTGAATGTGGCAATAAAGATGAGGACGGCAGTCCGAACAATGTAAATACTTTAAATAGTTACAATACCTCATCTCAGAAATATAGACAGATCCTGAAGAAGGCTGGAGCGTACAACGGTAAAAACGTCGTGAATATGGCAATAAAGCTGAGGACAACATTCCGAACAATGTAAATAGTGTAAATAGTTACAATACTTCATCTCAGAAATATACAGACTCTGAAGTTCGGTTGATATACCTAAGTAAATCACCTGAAGAAAGCTGGAGCGTACAACGACCGAAACGTCGTGAATATTACAATAAAGATGAGGACAGCAGTTCGAACGATGTAACTAGTGTAAACAGTTACGATATCTCATTTCAGAAATATAGACAGATATTGAAGAAAGCCAGGGCGTACAACAGGCCAAACGTCGTGAATATGTCAATAAAGATGAGGTCAGCAGACCGAACTATGTAAATACTGTAAACATTTACAATACCGCATCTCAGAAATATAGACAGATCCTGAAGAAGGCCGGAGCGTACAACGGTCGAAACGTCGTGAATCTGTCAATGAAGATGAGGTCAGCAGTCCGAACTATGTAAATACTGTAAACATTTACAATACCGCATCTCAGAAATATAGACAGATCCTGAAGAAGGCCGGAGCGTACAACGGTCGAAACGTCGTGAATCTGTCAATAAGGGGTTGGAAAATCGCTTGATGCGTTTTCGTAGGTGCTATGTTAACAGAAGATATATCACTTTAAGTGGCTTGAAGCTAAAAAATAGGCCATGCAAAAATAATTGGGCCAATGATGATAATTGATTGTGGGTTAATCCACTGTTCTTGATTATTATCCTCTTAACTATTTTTAAAAATCTCTTTATGCCATTCTTAAAGAATAATTGTCTTATTCTTATCTTGCCAATGTTTTCCAGTCTTTTTATTTCACGTGATCTCTGTTCTGTTTGTTGCAATTTCCAAGTCTGTTTCTGTCCGTCAATATCTTCCTGTCTTTTGAGGATAAATATTTCGCCTTGTAATTTTTGTATATCTGAAATGCAATAGATAAATGCCTATATCTATAGAGTGCTTTCTCCATTATCCGGACACAATAGGACAGGAGTTGAAGTTAAGCAACATCTAGCCTGGTCAGTACCTAGATGGGGGACCGCTTGGGAATACACGTTACTGTAAGCTTGGATGTGCGGGTGCCATAGCCTACGGCCATATCACGTTGAAATATCGGTCCCCATATGCTCACTGAAGTTAAGCAACGTCGAGCCTGGTCATTACTTTGATGGGTGACCGTTTTGGTGAATACCAGTTACTGTAAGCTTAGGTGTGCGGCTTCTATAGCTTACGGCCATATCCCGTTGAAACATCGATTCTCATATGATCACTGGATTTAAGCAACTTCGTGCCTGGTCAGTACTTAGATGGGGGACCGCTTGGGAATACACGTTGCTGTAAGCGGGGATGCGCGGGTGCCATAGCCTACGGCCATATCACGTTGAAATATCGGTTCCCATATCATCACTGGAGTTAAGCAACGTCGAACCTGGTC